ATTTGGAAAATAATAATTTCTAGGGCTGGAGAGATGGCTCAGAGGTTAAGAGCATTGACTGCTCTTACAGAGGACCCAGGTTCACTTCCCAGCACCCACATAGCAACTAACAACCATCCATAACTCCAGTTCCAGGGAATTCGATGCCCTCTTCTGACCTCTGTTGGCATTGTATGACACGGGTGCACTTACACAAATGCAGACAGTACACTCATACACATAAAAATAACAAAATTTTTTGTCTTTTTTTTGAGACAAGGTCTCTCTTTAGCCCCAGCTGTCCTGGAACTCACTAGGTAGACCAGGCTGGCCTCAAATTCACAGGGATACGCTTGCCTCTGCCTCCCAAGTACTGGGATTAAAGGCATACGACATCAAGCCCGGCATAAAGTATTTTTTAAGAGAAAAATAATAATTACTAACTATAAAAGCAAGACTGAAGCCAGTATGTTCCAGCCCCAGACTCACATGGCTAACCATTGTGGAACATTGCCTGAGATAGACCCTATCCCAAGCAGAAGGACCCCTTATGCAGTCCTGTATTCTAGTGGGAGGAAGAGACAGTGAGGACGCACTCTAAGTGGGTAAGTTATTTGATGGGTTAGGAGGGGAGGCAGAATGCATGGCCAAGTTGTATTTCAGTGCCTGATACAGTGGCACACAGCTGTAGTCCTAGCCCTTAGGAGGTGGAGGCAGGAACTTCAAGAGTTCAAGGTCATCCTTAGCTACCTCCAAGGTGAGACCCTGTCTCCCAAAACAAAAACAAGATTATAGTTGTATAGCCTATTGGGTGACCCATGCCTGTAATCCTAGCAATCCGCAGCTGAAGCAGGAAGATCAATAGTTTAGGCCAGCCTGAGCCACACTCACCCTGTCTTACAAAGAAAATGGGGACAGGAGATGCAGCTCTCTGTAGCTGGGTTGGATCCCTAGCCTGAAGGAAAAAAATGTGGTTTTGTTCGTTTGAGAGGATATCTGTGTGTGTGTCTGTGTCTGTGTCTGTGTGTTGTATGCATGTGTGTACACAAGCTTGAAGTCTAAGGAGGACATCTGGTGGCCTCTTCTGTCACTGTCTGCCTTTTTCCCTTAAGACAGAGTCTCTCACAGAACCTGGAACTCAATTCAGCTAGGAAGCAGCTGGCAAACACCAACAATCCTCCTGTTTCTGGTCCTGTTTCTTCTCTCCCCCCCCCCCCCCCCCCC